TAATTCGCTCTTGAAGCTGTCCATGCTTGTAGCCGCCGCCACCTCCTGTGGCAGTGAATTCCATCACTCTTTGGGTGAAGAAGTACTGTGACTTGTACTGTGACTTGTCGACTGTGACTTGACAGCAAAAAAATTAATCAAGAGAATGTGCTCTTGTTAGGGCTTAACAGGGACCAAGGATCCCTAAGTCACTCTCTAGGTGCTATATATTCCACCCCTTAAAGGATGAATTGAGCTAATTTGTTCACTAACAGCTGTTGTTAACTGGGAGCGTCTCATGCCAACTTCATGTGAACTGTTTTTCTTTTTTAAAGATATTGTTTTACACCAGCCTATCTTTGTAACACGCCCCCCCTTCTGCTGCGTATTCAACCAAGCCAAACGGTTGCTCTGTGCCTCCCAAATCTGCGAGAGGCCTTGAAATTACAGAACAAATTGCATTACTTTTCAAAATCCTAAGCCTTTTGTATATTTTATGCGTACTTGGAAAAGATATCAAGTGAAACTGAAAATCAAAGCTTATGTTATTTATTATTTTATTTATATGGGTGGAAACTATTTTTTAAAAGGCGTATAATGTTTCTTCGGCAGTCAACAGAAGTGCTCCAATGTTTATAAAACTTTGCATCAAATGCTGTTTCTTTTACTCCCACTTGGAAACTCCCACTTGAGGCTAGTCCTCCCTGGAAAAAAAAAATTTCATATTTCAAAACAACTTGGTGGTATAAACCATTATTTTTTGTTCTGTTCTGCAGGTTGTCAGTTTAGGTGTGATTTTCTGATGGCTTTGAGCAATTTGACGTGTTGAGATTGCAATTTAACTGTCAGTATTTTGAGAGTTTGGCAGAGGCGCCAATGAGATCTGCAAACTTGGTTTACAGCAGGTGTGCAATTTGTGGGAATTTATGTGTCTCTCTTTATCCCAAAGGCTTACACTGGATATGAAATATGAAATCCCTAAGCCTGTCCTCTCTCCGCTTCACCAGTTAACTCAGATATTATGCTGTGTGACAGTTCCTGATTTCACACTTCTCTTTTTCTCTCTGTTTTTAGGTGTGCAGCATACTTTCGAAAATGTTAAACTATTGCAGGTACTGTTTTACTTTTAAGAGCCGGGAATTGGGTCGTGTTTCTGAAGTTCTCAAATTTAACGCAAGGCATGTTCTGAACAGGATTGGAGGCATAAGTGGTTTAGTGCTCAATTTTTCCTCTGCCGGTGTGATTGAGATGAATTAATTTCTTGCTAAGACACGTTCAGAAGGTAGCCTTGTTGGTCTGCCGTAGGAGAGTGTGGTTTGAGTCCAGCAGCACCTTAGAGACCCGCAAGATTTCCGGGGTAGCCCTGACCTGGATAGCCCAGGCAAGCCCGATCTCGGAAGCTAAGCAGGGCCGACCCTGTCAAGTAATCGGAAGGGAGACCTCCAAGGAATACCAGGGCCGGGACGCAGAGGCAGGCAACAGCAAGCCAGCTCTCTGAAACATCCAAGCCCCACTAGAGGTCGCCAGAAATCAGTCATGACATCTGTCAGAGTTCCCACAGCATCAACGAAGTACACACTTGTAGAAAGGTTTTACTTTATTTGAAGCTATAGGTGCATAGACACGAACACTGTTCCCCCGCGCCGAAACTCTTGTCGGTCCCTAAGGTGCAACTGGTCTCAAATCTAGCTCTTGTTAAGAGGCTGTCTTTTCAGCATCTCATTAATCCCGATAGAAAACAGGGGCCCCTAGGTCTGTGCAGGCATCCCCCACGTGTTTATGTGTGTGGGGCTCTTGATAGCTGGTCCTGCTAAGGATGCCAGCCTCCAGGTGGGACCTGGGGATCCCCTGGGATTCCAGTTCATTTCCAGACTACAGAGATCAGTTCCCCCTGGAGAAAAGGGATGCTTTGGAGGGTGGACTCAGTAGCATTCTGCCCCACTGAGGTCCCTGCCCTCCCCAGGTTCCATCCCTCAAATCTCCAGGAGTTCCCCAACCTGAGATCTGGCCAGCATGCCCCTCCCCAACCCAGACAGTGGCCAGGGGGGGACCTGGCAACCCTGGGTCCTGCCCAATGTTCCCTCTAAGCTATGGAGTCTTGTGAGCAAAAATTCTACTTTGTGAGCAAGTAATTTGGCTACTGCATAAATCAGTTTGCTCTGGAGCCATCCTTCCTGAGCTAAGACAAAAATGTGTGAGCCGGAGGCTAAAAACCTGTGAGCTAGCTCACACTAACTCAGCTTAGAGGGAACACTGGTCCTACCTATTCTACACGCCCAATGCCCAGACACTGGCCGGAGTGTGTGAGTGGCCAGCAGCAGGTGTAGACGGGAACCACCTGCTAAGTATGCCCCAGTTTTCTGGTGCACTGCTTGTGCAATACCCATAGGCTCCTGCACGCAAGCGGCTCCGCAGACCGAAGCAGAATCCAACAGCAAAACTTCTTTGGGCTGGGAATATGGAACGCTTCACGAATTTGCGTGTCATCCTTTCCAACCCATATATGGAGGCTGGGTGTATGGAGGAGCGGACACTGAAACTGTCAGCACAATTCTCCTACCTCTACATATACAAAGAGCGTGGATCTATCGCCCACTGCCATTTTGACTCGAGAGGATGCTGCGGTTCAGGAACCAAGGCTAGACTGAGGACATCCAGTGATCAGCAGGGTCTTGAACCCATGCCCAAAGTGGGTTGGCTTTTAGCTTTCCCATTTCCACTTGTGCAAATTAACCATAAATGGATTTGCCTGCTTTGGCCATTGACTTCACTCGCCGCTGCCTGTTGCAGCCATAGGAAACCTGCGGCATGGAACCTAACCTGATCTGTCGGTTTCGAGGGGGGGGGTGATATGAAAGCATTGCTGAAGGGCCAAGAAGGTTCTGATTTTTTGTTTTATTTATTTATAACTCACCTTTCTCACCAGGGCTCAAGGTGGTTGACACAGTGGTGGGAAAGGGCCCAAAGGGTCGCTCACCGAAACTGCGATGCAGTGAAAAACACCACAGCAGGCAATGAAGCAAGCTGAAAGTGACATAAAGCACAACTCAGTGGCAGAATGCATCTCCTGTAGGCTCAGGGTCCTAGGGTTAGTCTGCAGTATCTCGAACTGAAAAGGATCTCAGGTACCTGGACTCCTGGAAAGCCGCTTCCAGGCACAAAGGTGTTGGGCTGTCTTCATTTAGTCAAAGTCCTGCGCGGGGATCCATCAGACCAGTCTTCGTCTTTTCTAGTCCAAACCCTTAATGAGCATGGCCACAGAACTGCAAGCATGTGTGACATGGAGTCATGTGATGCTTGAACAGGCAGGGCTAGAGTCGGGACTTCACTCGTTTCCATGGGTAGGGGACCAAGAGAGGCGGGGACAGGAAGGAACCAGAAGATGTACAGTAGTGAAGAAGAAGAAGAAGAGAAGAGATTGGCTTTATACCCCGCCTTTCACTCAGAGTCTCAGAGCGGCTTACAAACTCCTTCCCCTTCCCCTCCCCACGACAGGCACCCTGTGAGGTAGGTGGGGCTGAGAGAGCTCTGACAGAAACTGCTCTTTTTCAAGAACAGCTGTGCCAGAACTATGGCTTGCCCAAGTGGAGGAGTGGGGAATCAAACCCAGTTCTCCCAGATTAGAATCCGTGCACTTAACCACTACACCAAACTGGAACGAATTAAAGATTAGTCCTATTGGAAAAAACCTTTTCTGCCTCACCTTGTCCTTCTGCTTCTTCATGCATGCGTGCAAAGAGAGGGAGGCAGTACGGCGCTGTTGCTCTTGATACGTGTGCACTTGCAATAGATCCTTCCAAAAATTGGCAGGTCTGGAAGGGCTTGTGATCAGTGTTCCCTCTAAGTTGAGTTAGTGTGAGCTAGCTCACAGTTTTTAAACCTCCGGCTCACACATTTCTGGCTTCGCTCAGGAAGGACAACTCCAGAGCAAACTAATTTATGCAGTAGCCAAATTGCTCGCTCACAACGTTCATGCCAGGAGCTCACAAGACTCCACAGCTTACGGGGAGCATTGCTTGTGACCCACGTGAGAATCTTGCTTCATGGGTTGAAGACCACAGCCTCTTGGAGTGCTTGGAGCTGGGTGCTGGCTTCAAAGGGTACCTGTGTAGAACAGCTGGATTCAAGTCCCGTAACACCTTATTGACCAGCAAGAATTTCGGGGTATGAGCTTTTGAGAGTCAACCCTCCCTCTGTCCGGTACGAAAAGAGCTTTGACTCTGGAGTGCTGATACCCCGAAAGCCTTGCTGGTCTCAGAGGTGGGTGAGAGGGACATTGTGGTGTGGTTTTTAGCGTTTGGGACTGTGATCTCACAGATCTAGGTTCCAACCTCTATTCATCGGTGACGCTCACTGGGCAGCTTTGGGCAGTTATTCTTAGCTGGACCTACCTCGAAGGGATGTTGTAGGGAGAAAATGGAGGTGGGGCGAGCCATATAAACCACCCTGAGCTTCTTGGAGAATGGTGGGAATAAAAATGGGCAGTGGATAGACCCAACAGGATGCTGTCTCGCAAGGACCTGAAATGGTCCCACACATATTCAGTGGTTTAAAACTTAAATAATGGGTTCTGTGGATGAACAGACCCCCAGTCTAGTGATCAGCTCTACTTTATTCAGTGATTTCAGCAAGAACAAGACACTAGACCAGAGCCTCGGTTATTTTGCATGCAATGGCCACACCCCAACACACCCCACTCCCAACAATAGGCTATTTACAGAACTTTACATCTTAATTGGTTCCTGCCAGAATCCTGTTGGTCTATTGTTATTCGGCTCCAAGCTCACCCTGTCTCTGGCAGCACAGTCCAGCAATGTTTCAGTCCCAATACATAACAAAACACATCCTGGGATGGAACAAGGTCTACCGTGCTGGTCTTTCAAAAAGTCACTCTCAGGCAGTTTAAGTTCAAGCCTATCTGGGTGAGGCTTTGATGAGCTCGGGCCTTCGGTACGAAACTGTCTCTAAGCAAGACTAGAGGGGACTAATTTGCATCTCAATCTGTTTGGGCTCAGTCAGGCCAGATGTGCTTGACTGTGCAGCTGGACTTGAGAGAGGCAGGCACTGTTTCATCTTCCTGCAGCCACTGAAGCCCCAGGAAACCGCCCCCCCCCCCCCTTGCCTTCTTCTGCAGGTTCTGCCTCTCCCAGCCCCACAAACCACTTTCGCCCGGGCAAGGCTAGAAGGTGGAAATACCTCTGCAGGCTCAGCCCAGCAGGCTACTCAGAAGATTCTGATGTTCTTTTATTTACTTAATTCATAGCTCACCTTTCTCACTGAGACTAAAGGCAGATTGCACAGTGGTTTGGGAGGGGAACGTTGTCATGCCGTTAACCCTTCTTCCTCTGTTCTGCCACAAAGGACAGGGCACAATTACAGAATGCGAATGGCCGGAACCTTTTAGGAAGGCATCTGAGTCCTAATGCAAGGCCACGTTAGTTAATGTTTTTGGCTTCATTTATAGTAACTCTGTTCTTGGTACTGGTTGATAACTGGCTATATGGATTTCAGAGCCTGAATATCTAATTGGAGCTTGCTAGCAAATACCTAATCAGTTAATCCTAAAAGTAATCAACACTGACTGTTCCCTGGAAGGAAGGCCAGATAATGAAACTGAAGCTCAAATACTTTGGCCACCAAATGAGAAGGGAGCACTCACTGGAGAAGCCCCTGATGCTGGGAAAGATTGAAGGTCAAAGAAGACGGGGACGGCAAAGGATGAGATGGTTAGACAGTGTCATCGACGCAACAAACATGAAATTGAGCCAACTTCAGAGGACAGCGGAAGACAGGAGGGCTTGGCGGGATCTGGTCCATGGGGTCGCAAAGAGTCGGACTCGACTGTGCGACTGAACAACAAAAAGCAAATACCTGACACAGTAGTTCTATACTGGAAGTGGATTAAATGGGCCAAAGGCTACATGGAATCTTCATCTGAACTGAAACCATCCTATATTCACCTTGCAGGGGGGGGAAATATATGTAATTTTTGT